CTTCCCCCCACCACTGGCCTGGTTGCCCCATGCAGCCTGCTGTTCAGTCGTTTGGTCGTCCCTCACTAACCCCCCTGTTGGCCTGGTCATAGGCAGCCATTTGGGAGGGTGTGAGGGTTAATTTGCATATTACCTCTTTATTATATAGGATTATCAGCAAACACTTGCACAGGGCAGCTCTCATTAATGACACCCAGGAGAGACAGGCCACGGCCCCATCCCACTCTTCCGCCTGACCTCAGCAGGCCAAGAGTTCCCAAGGGCGTCTCCTGAGCCATCAGCCATGCCCTGTGATCTGCCTAGGTTAGCTCAGGTGGGCACACTGTGGAGCTGTCTGGGCAATGACAGAGGTTTCCTAATGGACATGAGGAAGGCCTAAGCTAATCAGGGGACACTTCTGTCCCCGACTTTCCCTCCTATGCTCTTCATCTCAAGGCCACTGATCGCCTCCCCCACTTGTGGGATCAGTTCTTTCCAAACTTCTGAGCTGATCCTAATGATGCATCCAGTCCACCACTCATTTATCCAGCCAGCCAGCCAGCAGCAATATCATACATATGCTCTAAGCTGTATAAACCTGGGCTAGTTGAACTTCAGTTGCCTCATCTATAAAATGAGAATAGCATTGACTTCATAGCAGCGGTCCCCAACCTTTGGGGCCTTGTGGATCACCAGTGGTCCGTGGACCATCAGTTGGCGACTGCTGCTTCATAGGATAGTTATGAATATGGAATTAGACAGTGCTTATGAAGCAATGACACATACTAAGCACTCTGTTATTATTGCCTGTTATCTCCATCACATACTCACTGATTCATTCAACTAACATCACCTACTGTATGCTATGTCCTGGAGATACAAGACACAATTCCTGCTCTTGGAGGTCCCTGTCTGGTGGAGGGTCAAGAGGACATCAGATGAAAGGATGATGCAAGGAAACTAATAGTCACAATTCACCATGCTTAGTATGTGCTGTAGAGAGCACAAAGGAGACACACCCAACTCAGACTAGAGGAGTTGGGGGAGAGGGGGGCGGGGGTGGGGGAGGGGAGCAGAGAAGGCTTCCTGGAAGGTGACATTGAAGCTGAGTCCTGAAGTATGAGCAGGAGTTCAAAGAAGACTGCAAGGCAATCCTGGCAGAAACATAAAATCAGCTTGTTTTTTATAGGGCATTGGAGATTTGTGGACTGGTGTGTGCAGTGAAGTAAGAAGAGGTGAAGACTGACTCTAGAGATGCAGGGCCCAGGCCTGGGGACAAGCTAAGGAGTGTAGGCACTGCTACGCAGAGGGCCAGTGAGGAGTTCCAAGCAGAGTGCTGAGGGCAGGTGTGCAGGTTATGAAAGTGCTGCATGAGTGGATGAGGAGCTTAGCTGGGGAGACTGACCATGTACAACAGCCCAGTGCACAGACCCCCAAGCTTTTGAATGGCAACTGTGTCAGGGCCTTAGATCCCTGAGGGGTCATCACAGGCATTCTCTTGGCCCTGGATTGCAGCCCGCCTTTTCTCCTCCTCCCCATCCTCCTGCCTCTTTTGGCTCTGGCTGGAGCCCTGGTTTCTGCCCAGGTCCCTCCTCCTGAGTTTCACTATCCTGCTCAGTGCAGAATCCTCGCCTGGCTCCTGCGCTGGAGGAGACTGGCCAGAGGCACCGGGAACTGGGAGTTGAGCAAGCTGGGTTGGAGCTAGAGCAGGGAAGGATGAGAACCACACAGGGTGGGGGTAGGAGAGCGGTACAGCTCGGGTCCTTTCCTCTTACCCAGGTCTTAGCACATGCTGTTCCTTCTGTCCAGAACACTTTCCCCGCCTCCCTTTGGCGCAGCAGCTCTCCATTCTTCAGGTCTGTTCAGCTCACACCTTCCAGGAACCCTTGCTCACTCTCCCCACCCAGGCTAATGTCTCAGCTATGTGCTGGGACATCTTCTGGTTTGTGCCATCACATAGCTCACGGAGCAGTGATTGCCAGTTGATGTGACTGCTCCTCCCAGCTGGTGAGAGCTCTGTGAGGGCAGGCACTGCCTCATCGATCTTTGCATCCCAGTACCTAGGCCCATGCCTGGCACATGCTAGACTTAGACTTCATAAATGTTGGCTGAATGGATAGGGGGATAGGATGGCCAGATGGATAGATTGCTGATGGGGATGGGGGGCGGGGGAGGGAGAGAGGGTGAGAGGGAAGGAGGGAAGCAAGGGCAAGATGGGTGTGTGAGTTCTAAGATATTCTCGAGGCAGGAGGCTGGTTTCCATGACTTTCTTTGGCTGTCTCCTTCGGTGAGGAACTTCACTAGTTCTGTTGGAGAAGGGGCAGGAGGCCTCAACCCCCTGCAGTCCTGTCCACTGGGCAGCTCCCTCCTACCCTCCCCCACTCCCGAGTGTGATTTATAGTCTCAGCTCAGGCTATGTGACTCATGGTAAGTCACCTGTCCTTTCTGGGTCTTAACCATCCCATTTGTAAAATCTGAGGCTCAGTATAGACGTCTCTTCAAATTGAACAGGCCCAATTTTGGTGCAATATTTAAAAATGCTTCATGGGTACCGCAATAGAGTACATTTTGTATCTCACACACACAAAAAATCAAATGGTGCTTAACCATGCAAATAAAAAAAGGTTGATCATGTTTTTTTTGCTGTGCTTTATATTATAGTGGTTTTAAATGTGCTCTCGAAAAAAAATTTACACCCCATCATCACGAGATATTGGATGGCCAGTCTATAACATTTAGCCTTCTCGCTAAAGACCCTTCTACTCAGCAGCCACAGCTCTGTACCTCCAGACCTTCTCATAGACCCTACAATGACAGAACAGGCGGTTGAGGCATCAGCAGCTGAAGATGAAGGATGTCCCCAACACCACTTGCACAAGTCAAGGGGCTGTGTTGTCTCTCCGCACCCTCAACTGTGAGCTTCTATGGTGGAGACTGAATCTTGGTCACCTCCCATCCTGGACCATGCCCAGGAAATCTTGGTAGATGGCCTTTCAGAGAATACCTCCTCTTCTCAGAAATGGAGTAACTCTGGCCTTCACTCTCATTAGGACAAGCATTCGCTGATAGAGGTTTTCCTCTTCCACCCACTGGGGCCAGCAAGCTCCGACTCCAACCCTATCTTGGCACCGGTGGGCAACCGCCAGGCCAGTCCTGGGCACACAGATTTCCTGGCTGGAGCCTGCCATCTCACCCTCTGCTGCAATGTATGGTTCTGGACAAATGAGTGTGGCCCAAAGAGATGCCGTTTTACGATCATGTCAACCGACAGAGCTGTAAGCTGAATTGCAGCTCAACCTCTCTTCTAGTAAAAGCCAAGGGACATCCTCTCTGCAGCTGAATGACGGAGTGCAGCCCAGCTGTCCTTTCAGACTTAGAATTATCACTCCTTTAAAAAAAGTTTTGTTCTTGTGTGCAATAACAGCAGGCAATTGTTTGTGCTGATGTATGACTTTGACAGAATAAGAAGTTTGAAACCTTTAGTCTACAGTTCTGGGAGACTTCGCCAATGGGGGCAGGAAATCCAAGAGCCTGGAAACTACCCCAGCCCGACCCCCTCCCTGGGTCACTGATGGCACTTCTTTCTGCCCCTTCTGCAAATCTCTCCAAAGCCTTTGTGACCAAGGGATTGAAACCCCCACCCGCAAAAAACAAAAAACAAAAAACAACAACAAACACCTAAACTTAAGGTTTTAAAAAAACCAACCTAGGTTTTCAGGGTCCAGATGTTTGTGGACACTTTGCGATTTCAATTGCAGTTCATATTTTTTGCCGCTTTGCACTGGCAGCTATAGAAGACTTTGGTGTAACCTACTATATATAGCCTTCCCCTCAGGGAACTTTGTCGTGCCCACCTGCCTGCAGGAAACCCCTGCTCCCACCCCGCTCCCTGGGGCTTAGACAGGGAGGGCGGGGCTGTGGTGAAAGCACCCTCCTTCCCCATCCTGCACAGTCAGCATGCAGACTCTGAAAGAGCTCATGTCCACAATGACAAAGGCAATCACCCAGGACTCAAACTTGAGGGTGAGGGTGGGACTGTGTGTACAGAGATGTCTGGGGGCAATTAAAACGCAACAATAAAGCCAACCTTTAAATAGTAACTTTTAAAAATATAAAAACAGCTCATTACAATTACTTTTCATTTTCTTCTTTCTTCAGGAATCAACTTCTACCCTCGCCCTCCCTTGTGGCTACAGCCTTAACAACAGTGGCAGATGAACATCTGAGACAGTCGAGAGAGAGAGAGAGAGAGAGAGAGAGAGAGAGAGAGAGACAGACATACCCCTGGCCACCTCTCCCCCAACCTCAGAAAGGTACAGGGTGCCTGGCCAGCCTCCATGGCCTCCTCATCACATCAGGGGGGCTGCTGGCCCAGGAGCAAGATCACTGAATATGGGCAGTTTTCACCAGAGCCCCTCCTTCCTTCTCACCAGACAGAATCACACATTACAAAATAAGCCATAAAAATGCAGTATAAAAATTATCTTCCATACACTTACATCCATGGAGAGCCCACCACCAGGACTCAAAGGGCCTTTAGCTTTTCCTTAAAAGAAGAAGAAGAAAAAAAAAAAGACCAAAAGAAAAAAAAAAAAAACATGTTTTGCTGTACACAGGTAGTCTAACCCCTATGTAACTCGGCTTGGACCTCTGCCCAGGAAATTGCAGTCTATAAGTTCAATATGCAGCCTCCAGTTTTTCTAACCCAACGAGGTTTCGGCCAGTCTCTGAGTCAGACTCCTCCTCTTCCAGCAGCAACAGGTACCGAACCCTGGTACAGGGTGCCTGGCCAGCCTCCATGGCCTCCTCATCACATCAGGGGGGCTGCTGGCCCAGGAGCAAGATCACTGAATATGGGCAGTTTTCACCAGAGCCCCTCCTTCCTTCTCACCAGACAGAATCACACATTACAAAATAAGCCATAAAAATGCAGTATAAAAATTATCTTCCATACACTTACATCCATGGAGAGCCCACCACCAGGACTCAAAGGGCCTTTAGCTTTTCCTTAAAAGAAGAAGAAGAAAAAAAAAAAGACCAAAAGAAAAAAAAAAAAGCCAAACTCCTCGGAACATTTTGGTACCAAAAAGTGTCACTTGCAGCTACTTGTAACCTGTTTGGGCTCAGAAGAGAGACTGAAAGCTGAAAAAGTCACCAGTGTGCCAGGACATCGGTGCCCCCACCTACCTGCTAGTGTCCTCAGCCCCTGCAACCCTGCCAGACTCAATCCCGCAGATTAAATACACATTCCCTTGTGGGCGGGGGAGGGAGGAATCACAGGCAGGAAAGGGGAGAAGGCATTTTATAAAAGGACATCACTTCTAATTCTTTATTCAAATTTAAAAAAAAAAAAAGCACCCACATCAGTTGCTATTTTTCTCTGGTAGCTCCCTGAGCTGAGTTGCTATGCTTTCCTCCAACTTTCTGTCCTTTTTAGGTTCTGTCTGCCGATTAAGAAGGGCTGGAGAGGGAGTCCTCTGAACTCCATTTCCCAACATGACCAACTGTGCACCAAAGAGAGGGAGGTGGGGAGAGTGAGGGAGCTAGTCAGAGCCCTGAGAGAGGGTGACCGAGGGCAAGAGGCAGGCAGCGTGGAGGCCACAGAAAAATCTGACGGGCGCTGCTGCCCTCAGCCCCGGCCGGCCCACCTCAGGCACTGTCTGTCCTCTGTGTGGCGTGGTCTTGACCCTCCTGGGACCATCCCGAGCCTCCTGGAGGCACCCTCATTCCAAGGGACCCGACTGGTCAGCCTGGTTACCAGTGCAGCTCCCTTTCTCCACCCCGGAATTCTCTCCCCATTCCTCCCCCTCCCTGACTCCCCTCCCAGGCGGGAACTGGAAACTTCTGTTAAAAAAAACAAACACAAACCACCACCACCATGAGTGGAGTACAAATACAGCAGGCGAAACACACGGCTAGCGTTTCTGGTGAGAAGGGGCCTCCTTCCCCACTGACCAGTCCGAGATAGGAGTCTGTTATTTACATTTTTCACAAATCTTGTGCGCTGCACAAGCGGGGAAATAAGATCCCCATCCCTGGCACAGGTATGTGGTCCACTCCAGTGTCCCCACCCCAGGGCAGGGGACGGGTCAAAAGAAAGGGGAAGGAAAGATAGAGATTCACGAGGGTGTCTTTGGGGAGCTGGAGCCGTGAGCCTCCACATAAATCTATTAGTAGCATCTGCCAGCACGGTGAAGGGGAAGAGGAGAGAAATCCATTGGAGTCTGTGAGACACATCACCTCGGCCCGGAGTCGCACTGTGCCGGCGCCGCCCAGCCTGCCACAGCGCAGCAGGACGCGCGGCTGCTCCCGGCCTCGCCATCCTGGGGGGCCCGCATCAGGATCTCCCTGTCACAGTTGAGTCTGTTTCTCCCAGAGTCTGACAGCCCTGTTAGAGTTCTTGTTTAGTAGATGACCTCATAAACCGTGGCCTTCTTGTCACCAGAGCCTGTTACAATATATTTGTCATCCGCCGAAATGTCACAACTCAAGACAGACGAGGATTCCTTAGACTGGAGGAGGAGAGGCAAGGAAGGTGCAGGACGGAAAAAAAAGACAGGAGTCACTTTAGCTCTGCACCGCTTCAATGATCCAAATTAAACCGCCCTCCCCGGCCCGGCCCTCCAACCTGCAGTGCACACAGCGTGGCCTCCAAGGCAGCCCAGGAGGTGCTTTCAGGTGGAGATGCCCTTCCACGGGCTCCCAGCCACTGCAGTGCCCACGGGGATCTTAGATGCCCAGCCCCAGATCTTGAAGAATCATAAAAAGCCTCCTCCCTCTCCCACCTCCTTCTGGACCCTTTTCCTCCCCCCCCCCCCCCCCTCCACCCCAAAGGGACAGGAACCTCACCTC